TGCAGATGTTTTGATTTTATCCAGTGAGACCCATCCCAGACTTCTGCCCTTCAGAACTGTAATCAAATGAATTTATATTCTTTTAAACCATTAGGTTRTTGTTATTTAAAGCAACAATAGAAAACTAATACAAAGGCATTAAAATTGTTTCAATTTTTTATTGTGTGGACACACAAATTCATCTTACTTAAGCAAATATTTAGGAGAAGGATTGCTGGGTTCTGTCTGTATCCTTGCTGATACTAAGTATGAGAGTTTCATTTGTCAGCTGTTTTTATTTTAGTCTTTCTAATTTATAGTGGTAACGCACATTATCATTTTAATTTTCATTTCTCTAATAACTTTTGATGTGGAATTTCTGTTACTGTTCGTTAGATATCTGTGTATCTTCCATTGGTGAAGTGACTTAATTTTTTAATCTATTGTGTTGTTTTCTTATTATTGTGATCTCACAATTCTTTATATATTCTGGATATTTAAAAAAAWTTTTTTTTTTTTAATTTTAAAGCAGATCTCACTKTTGCCCAGGCTGGCCTTAACTACTGGGTTCAAGTGATCTTCCTGCCTCAACCTCCCAAGCTGGGATTATGGGTGCATGCTATTGCACCTGACTTGATAGAAGTTCTTTATCAGATGTGTGGCTTGCAAATATTTTCTCCAGTCTRTATTTTTGTCTTCATAGTCTCTTTGGAATAGTAGAAGTTTTTAATTTTGATGAAATCCAACTTACCTGTTACTTTTATTTATAGCCCAATTCTGATGACATCCTTGCTTAACCCGAGGTCATAAAGATTTTTTCTATATCTTAGAAGTTTTATAAATTTACACATGTCAGTTTCTGTTTCATTTTAAGTTAATGTTGTCATAAGGTATAAAGTATAGGTTAAAAAATCATATCCATGTAGACATCTGATTTGTTAATACTACTTTTTCAAAGACTAATCTTTTTCCATTAAATTGCCTTTGAAACTTGGTTGAAAATCCTCTTGATCCTATATATGTAGTTTTGAAATCTAATAATATACATTCTCCAATTTTTTAATTCTTCTTAACCCCCCTTTTGACTATTTCTTATTTTTAATAGTAGAAAAGATAACTTGGCTTCATTCATTCACCTGTTCCCCTCTCCAGCCTCCATTCCCTTGTACTAGCGATTGATCCCAGGGCCTGAATGCATGCTAGGCAAACTTTGTACCTCTGAGTTACACCCCCAGCCAGCCAATCAATTTCATTTTATTTTGTGACAGGTCTCACTAAATTGCCCAGTCTATCCTTGAACTTACAGTCCTGCCTTGGTCTTGGTCTCTACAAAACTGGGATATAGGCCTTGGTGCTGCTGTTTTGTTTTTGTTTTTACTTTCAGGAATATGGAGAAAATAATCCAGAATTATACCTTTYGTTATGCCAGTTTATCTGATTCGTTGTCAGTTGACTTTTGCCAAAATGAAAATGATCAGACTGGCTTGGTCTTGTTTATCATTTTGTTGAGATACTTTCCTAGTATTTTTCATTTGGACAAGAAATTGAYGCTCCTCCCTGACATTTAGAAATATACGTATGTTAAATCTTTATAAATTCCCATGTGTTGTTTTTTTAATTAAGTCTCTCAGTGTGTTACTTTGATTTTTTTTAATTCATGGATTTATAAGAAAGGATAGCATTAGGTAGCTAACTATTTGAGTAAAATAAATTTGGAGTCTGGGCATGTAATTCATTGATAGAGAACTTGCCTAGCATGAGGCAAGTGTGAGGTCCTGGGTTTGATCTCTAAGAAATTAAAGAAAGAAAGAAAAGAAAGTTGGACTAATGCTAATTTGAGAACTTAAATATCCTGCTTTCTTATAATTCAAGTCCATGCTTATAAATTTAGGCTGTTTTAAAGAAAGAGCATTGCACTTGAAAGAAGGGAATTAGAAAAAACAAAAACAAAAAACAGTCTTATTCTCTAATGGAAAGGAACACAAAGATCATTGCAGAATTTTTAATCCAGACTGGCTTTGGCAACGTGTTCCCTGTCTTGCCCCATCTTTCCAGTTTTTTGTTAGCAAGTTCTTAAAGTGTCTGCTAGAAAAATTTAAACGCCATTTAAATATAAAAAATATAATATAAAAAATTGGGGTTTTCCAGTTCTGGCTTTCCTATTTTAGGTTTTGAGTATGTCTTCTCACCTGAGAGTAGACTTTTCAATTTTTATAAAACTAGAAATAAGAGACATAGATTTTGTAGTTTTCTCATACTTAAAGACATTTCCTTTTTTGTAAATATCTTGCCTTTCTTGCTATCTCATGGAGATGGTTACATTATATTAGAGAACTTTAATCATATAATTTTAAGAGTAATAAAGTCTATATCTTAGAAAAATTAGCTAGTATTGATTTTTAAATTTTAAATTATTGAAAACTGTTTCTTGTTTTTTTTTTCTTTCTGGTTCCCCCACACCTATCCCAGATACTACTGGTATAAAGGCATGTAGCTTTTCACTTTTCTGCCACAGGGTGGTGTACTATACCTACTGTCTGAAATTCTCTTGGTGGCTTCAATAGCCTGATTAAATCCAAGATAAAATTTTATATGAGTTCATGTTGAACATGCAAATAAATAGTTTATGACAAGATAATCTTTATAGAGGAATCTAATTTTATTTGGGGGATGTTTAAGGGACACTGACACTTTTTATTACATTTTTTCTTTTCTTTTCTTTTTTAATCGGGGATTGAACTCAGGGCTACTCAACCACTGAGCCACATTCCCCAGCCCTATTTTGTATTTTATTTAGAGACAGGGTTTCACTGACTTGCTTAGTTCCTTGCTGTTGCTGAGGCTCACTTTGAATTTGTGATCTGCCTCAGTCTCCCAAGCTGCTGGGATTACAGGTATGGCTACTGTGCCCAGCTTTTATTGCATTCTTATTACCTAAATTATTTGAAAATAATTTCAAACTTACTAAAGTGTTACAAGAATAATACTGCTGTAAGAATCATCCTTATAACCATTATCTGTATTTACCTATTAACATTTTATTCCTTTTACATACATAATTACATATGCAAGTTTTATTGTTGTTGTTTGTGAAACATTTGAGGCTAAGTTAAATACATCATTGGCACTTTGCCCCTCAATATTACGTTGTGTTTTTCCAAAGGACAGCAGTATTCTGTGGTATAACCACAACAAGTATCAACTTCGGGAAATTTAACATTGATTAAATCCTTTTGTCCAATCCGCCATCAGTATTTGAGTTTGTCTTTTGATTCTGAAATATYTTTTATAACATTTTCCCCTCCAGTTCTGTGGTCTCAAATCAGTTATAACGCTCAGTTTTCATGACTGTTTGGCCTCCATTAACCTGGAATATTTCCATAGCTGTTTGTCTTTCATAACATTGAAATTGAACTTTCCTTATTAGAATACTGCTTATTTCCATTTTGGGTTTGTCTGATGGTACCTTATAATATAGATTACACATTCTCAGAATACATAGCTCTGTGTTACATATGTCCATCTTCCTCTTATTGATTGTTATATTTTGTTTAAGTAATTTTTATAAATTTRTTTATTTTAATTAAATTTATTTGAACTGATACATAAAATGCAAAATTATACATATTTTTATTAGTTGCTCAAAACATTACAATGATCTTGACATATCATTTATCATAGATTTGATTCAAATGGGGTATGAATTCTTATTTATTAATTAATATTAATGGGGTATCATGATATTTTGGTACATGTGTACATTTTTTGTAAATTTAGATATATGTATATACACAAAGAATTAAGTGCCATTCAAAGATGTATAAAGCAAATAAATATTTTCTCTAAAGGGAACTACTTAGATGTTCTCAGTAGGTAATATCTAATTTGATTAAAGGTTTGAGGTAAAGAACTTCCAAAGTTCTTTATTTTGTCCCTAGATTTTCAAGAAAAATTGTTGAGATCTTATYTGGGATCTCCCTATTATTTGGTGAAAAAATAAAATCTGAGTAGGTGATATTAGACCATAAAGAAGCATAAAAATGGAGACATGACAATTATAAATCATAGATGTCACAATTAATACCAAAACCAAATAATTTTTTTGTTTGAATTCATACTTCTATTAGTGAAGTTTTGCTATAAAATAAACAAATGCATGCCAAATATGATGACTGGAAAGAATATAAACCTTTCAAAGAAATTATCATATGTCTTTTTTAATCCCTATTTTGAGGGATTTGGTGTTGCTAACTAGATAGAAATAGTTTTGTGACTAAGGAAATTTTCTAAATATTTTAATATGTTAACCTTAAGGTATATATAAAAATTTTCCAAAGGCAATGGCTACATATTTAGAGTAAGATATACATTTATTTCATTTAAATATTTACAGTTTTTTGATTTTCTATTTTGTCAAAAAGTATTTGTAGCATCAATATTAGGTAGTATAATGCTGTCATAAGAAAAGTATCAATTTAATTTGCAGCTCTATTACAGAACATAGTGAATTGAAACTTTTTTGCATGATTTTATATTTAATCCATTTACTTTGATTACATATGTACATTACATATAAATTATGCATTTTCTACATACTGTAGACATCAAAGCATTTGAGGTATGAARTTTGATGAATATAAAGTAATTTGAATTCCAAAATGTCCATTAAATTTAACAGTGGAACTTAAAAAATTATTGGATACTGCTGTGAGTTGTGATTTCTCCCATCAGCTATCCTGGAGAGTATTGTAAGGCAGAAAAAATTACCTCCATGTTCCTTCTAGGTGTGCACTTTGATTTTACAAAGAAATATACTGCTTAACTTGGTAGTTGTTTGTAGCTGCTCCTTTTGACACTAGTGTACATGTTTTTGAGTCTTTGGAGTGTACTAAACGTTACCTTGGGGCTTAGAAGGATTCATTATATCTTTCTTTGTGCCTAACTTAATTCTAAGAACTTGGACAGTAAATATTCAATTGAATATACTTTAAAAATTCTTTTTATTTATGTTCATTTCTCAGACAGGACACCTGTATAGATTCTACTTCATCTCTGAGAGAGAACAAACAATCTGAAGGTTTGGAATTAAAACAAGGTATGATTCAGTACTTACTTTTTGTTTAATTTTTACTGATAATGAATTTGCACTGTTCCATCTTGTCCCATTTTACAGATAGGAGAACAGAGTAATTTATTTGGTTGAGGATCAAAAGAAGAAAGAATGTTCTTTGTTTTGTGGTTCCTTTAGTTATTAGAGTATCAGGTATACTTTAGTTTCATGTAGTTGTGTAGAGATGCCATCAGAAAGACATTGTCATCTTGAGTAGTTTTAATTCAATAATTTTTGTTATGTATTCTCAGKTATGAGACTATGGGGATACATTTAGTGAATAGCTTTGAGTTGTATACAGAAAAATATATGTTAAGTTTTATAGGATAAAATTTCCCCCTCATATATTTTGTGCTTATTTACTCTTAAAGAAGAAAGTGTTTTCTTTAAATTGATAGTTTTTTTTTAGGTAACCAGGTAGTATAAATAAAGAGATTTTAATTTATTTAAACCTCATAGATTAATTAATACAGTTAATCTTTAAAATGTCTTTTTGGAAAATGTCACTAGGAAAAATTGAAAGTAAAATAAGTTTTTATTAGTTACACAAATACCACCTAATAATTTTCATTTTTCTTGTGAAATCAAAGAAGTGAGAATAATGCAATCAAGGGGATTGGATTCTCTCTCTCTTTTTTTTTTTTTAAGCTACTGAAGATTGAATCCAGAGACATTCTGCTACTGAACCTACATCCCCACCCCTTTCTACTTTTTATTTCAAGGAAGGATCTTGCTAAGTTTTCTAGGCTGGGCTTCAACTTAAGATCTTTTTTCCCCAGCCTCTATGGTAGGCTGGATTATAGGCATGAAGTACTCTGCCTAGCAAATTATCTGTTATCTTGAATGACTTAGAATAGTTTGTATAAAATTTGAGTTACAGGGACTTCTTTGGTAAAGAGAAACAGGCCATCAGTATTTTTTTTTTTTTTTTAACTTGTCACATCTGGGCATAGTGGCACATGCCTATAATGTCAGCTAGTGGGGAGGCTGAGGCAGGAGGATCACAAGTTTTAGGCCAACCTTAGTAATTTAGTGAGGTCCTTCCTACATAATTTAGTGAAACCCCGTCTCAAAATCAAAAGGGCTAGAGTCATAGCTCAGTAGCAAAGTGTCCCTGGGTTAAATCCCCAGTACAAACCAAAAAAAAAAAAGAAAAAACAAAAACTGGTCTATTACTAATGGTAAATTAACAAAGTGAAAACAATTGGATAATTAATTGAATCAATTTGTTCATTTTATTTGTAGTGAAAACAAGATTTAGATTTTTCTATAATTCTAATTTATATGCAGAGAGATTCATTAATGTTTCTGATGGTTTTGAAATTCTCGGTGCTTTTCAAAAGTTCTCTTTTGTTAGCCTTATAAATAGACACAATTTATCCTTATCTTAAGTACCTCCACAGAATAAACTCAGATTCATAGTTTTATTGGCATTTATCATGTGTAAATACATGTCAAACATATTATTTTCTTCTAATGTCATCACAGTCACCCTCTTATACTTTATGTATACTTAGACTATACTACTATTGTTTCTTTTCTTCCTTTCTAAACCTCTTTGTATCAAATGAGTCGGCAGTATGCAAAATATGCTATTAGATCATCTGGGGAGAGAAAAACGTCACATACAGGACAGAAAAAGCTAAAAACAACAGGTTAATTCCAATCTTCTATGGGGAGGGATGGAAACTTCATTGTACAAGTTAGCCAGGCTTCCTTCTAAGCGAAGGTGTTTTTCTGCTTCTGTGCTCAGGTATCCAGAGTTCTTCAGAACTACCTTCCTACTGCCAACAGCCTATTTTGCTGTGATTTTCTTTGGTAAATTTAATTATTGGGAAAATCAACCATGGAGGTACAAGAAGAAAGAGGAAAAGATTTCAGAGTAACCAGATGGCACAAAGTCTAGGCCTTTTATGCTTACAAAAGCCCGCAGACTTTACTAAGGTTCTCACCTAAGGCATTAGCAATCACAAATGCACTGCTGGCATCAAGTAGAGATGAGAAGACATAAGATCCAAGTGTTAACAGTACCACTGCACAATTCATGCTCACATTGTGACTAATCTGTAGAAAATGTTGAGTTTCAACATAGTTTTAAGAAAGCATGAAGCTCTTTAGAAAATAACTATAAAGTAACTGTAATGTAAAATAGTTTGTCATATAATTATATAAGCATGAATTATCCAAAATGTTTGTTTATGCAGAACATCTTCCAGATAAATAGCAGTATGGCTGAAATCTGAACCAGATAATAAGTAACCAGATAGTAAGTTGCCTAGAGTTAACCAAGAAGCTGAGGTGTATCAGGAAATGGAAATCCTAGTCAGCTCAATAAAAATAATCCCCCTTTTTCTAAATGAACTAATTATTATCTACTTATAATATGCAAAACTCTCAAAATCTGAGACTCTATCTCTAACTTTCTTTCATAATTAGCAAGTCTTGCTCACATTGAGCCTAATAAAAATATTATAATGCTTCCTGCAAATGCATTGTCATTTTAATGGCTTGACCATTTAAGAAAATTAACTGAAGCATATTTACTACAAAAGTAACCCTATTTTTAGTAGATCAGAATATATAGTAGCATTTAATTTTTCATTGCTTTTTCAGAGAAAACCTTATTATATGACTTATTGGCATATAATACTGACAAGTTATTTAAATTGCATTTTAAGTTTCTAAAACGCTTAAGTATTGCTTGAGTAATTATTCAAGTAATACTCAAATATTAACTAAATTAGTTAAATTGAAATTGTCCTTTCTTTGTCTAGTACTGGTTGCATTCATTTTCTTGATAGGAAATGTCTGAAACTGGCTATACTGAAGAGGAATATGGGAATATACACTAGTTTCTACCATACTTAATAATGGACGAATATCTAAAGACCTTTAACTGTGAAATATTACCTAAACGTAAATATAATCTGTTGGTTGTTTGGTACTATAGCAAAATAGGAACTCCTTTGTTAAAAATAGTTTCTTCAATCATTCATTGTCAGCCAAAGGCCATTTATAGGAAACATCAGTTATAGTTTTATTCTTTAGCACAACTGTGTGTATATTCACATGGCATATTTACCTGTGCAAGCTCACTGCAAGCCTGACATCTTATGGTTAATTTCCTAGGATTTTTAGAAATTGTGTTATTAAAAAGATTTAGTTCCCCTTTTAAAATAATGATGAATTGTTTAATTTTTAAGTGGTCATTTGTGCTATAATTAAAAAATGAAAAGCACTATTTGAGGTATTTAACATATGGAAAATATTTGTTAAAATATCAAATGAACCTGTGCTAATATTAGTAAGTTATCTTCCTATAGACTTATTTGTGAATAAGTTTTCTCAAGACATTCAGCAGTATTAAAACACAGGTCTGTTTTTAAATTGTTTACAATTGAGAATGTGTGTAGTTGTGTGATTTACTATAACTTTAAATATTAGATTCTTATGTTTGAATTTCTTCTTGGGAGGAAATTAGAAAATTTTGAATACTATACATGAGCAGTAGCTGGGTTAAATTTGTACATTTAGATTGAATAGTTGAAATTTCTGGTAATTACTTTAAAATATTTGAAGGGTTGTTAATTAGAAGAGTTATTAAGTTTGTTCTACATGGCCCTCAAGAATAAAAATAGTCAGTAGATAAAATCATTATTAGACGAAAATTTCTAGTTTAGTTTATTTCAGATAATCAGAAGTGTCAGAAAATGGAGTAGACCAAGTTCCTTATTGCTGAAGGAGCTCAAACACAGGTTACGTAAACCACCACCTGGTGATGCTGTTGTACAACAAATTCAAAGCAATGGTTGGATCTTTGGCTTTGATGCTGAAGTCCCTTAGAAACTGTAAGGTTTTATCAAGACCAGTGCCTAGTGTATTATTTGTACTTGGGAAGAGTTCTACTTAGGGTAGTTTAGTGAAAGCGGAGTGGAATATATAAACTTGTTATCTCTATTGTTTTTGGTCTATCAGAGTAAAAGAAAATATGCTTGATTAATCTTTAGGCTTTTTGATAGTTCCTGGAAACATTTTCATTTGAATGAAGGCATTAAGTAATATTAACCACATGGCATAGAAATTGAACAAAATCAGTAAGGTGTCTACTACATTTGACATTAATTTCTCATGAAAATCCTTTCTTGTTAGAGAATAACATGCAAACACACAATGTGCACATAGAGAATTGCTTTGGTTAGGCTCAGATCTTACCAGTTTTTTWAAAAAATGATTCTGTTGCTTCTGAAACTGTGGTTTGGCCTTCAAGTTCATGAATTAGTGAATGTCAGACAACTTTGAGAGCTGCCTCGTTGAGTTAAGGGTATAGCTCAGTGGTAGAGCAGTGACAGCTCAAGGTCGTGGATTGGAACTCCAACAATGCAAACAGAAAGAGAGAGAGAGAGAGAGGGGGAGGGGGAGGGGGAGGGGGAGGGGGAGAAGAGAAGTCGATAGATGGACTTTAATAAGGGAGAATGTTTGTTGAAGTTTAACTAATGTGATGAAAACTTAGAATAGTTTTTTTTTTTTTTAATGGACTTCTTTCAGCCAGTCAGACCAGTGGTCATCAAAATGTGATTATCATACTCCAAGGGGATGCAGAAAAAAAAATACTAGAAATTCTAAAATAAATAAGTAATATAAACATTTATTTTTAAGTTTTTCCCTTTAAAAAAWTCTGATTATATAAATATGTGAAATTTGTGATAGTATATATACATCAGTTTATAAGTAAATAAAATATATATGCTCAGGTGGGTGTTTGAAAATGTTTTCACTGAGTGGTTGACAGAGGCTTTTTAGACTATCATAAAGAATGCCAGGGATTAGAGAATGGTAGGATGTTGGACTATGTGGACAGAGTTTCAGTTAGATGGGTTCAGTCAGTTTTAGTCTTAGGATAAGTTCTAGAGATCTCTTATATAGCATCATGACTGTATGATAATAATATATTGATTATATACTTGAAAGATGCTGAGAGAATTGAT